ATTCATAGTTTGGATTTTTCGTATAAATAATTAATTTAATTTTGTTTGTAATATAATTTACATTTAAATATGTTGTGGTTTATAATATGACAAATTCAATCATTGATTACTAATCAACTTATAAATACAGAGTCAACATTTAAATATATTTCTCATTGTGGTTAAAAGTTTGACAATCATGGTAAAACTATTTGTTACAAAGTATTGCATAAAAAGTGTGCAAAAGTGTTGTTTACTGATTATATTTAAGATTAACTATTTCTTAATGATTCAAAATTTAAATAACTTTAAAAACTGGTAATACGTTTAGTACGAAATCAGCTTGATTATTAATCACATAAATATTTAAATGTCAATTTACTATATTATTCATATGAACTGACCTTCATGCATAATATGTTGTTACATGGTTGTAATTTAAGAAAATTACAATTGCATTAGTTTTCTTACAATAGTTTTGTTGGCGTTTATTGAAATGACATTGAAATTGTGTTCATTGCATAACCAATACAAATACAATAATAGAAATACATTATAGCCACACGTCTATTCAGTTTACATAGTTCATTTAATTAACTTGCTAAATTACTTAATTTACCTTTTCAATATTGCCAAATACTAATTAATAACAATTATTGATAATAATAAATACTCTACACTTACTTATCTCACTGTACAGTACATGTACTGCACTAATAGATAAGATAATAAACTACTGTCCACTGCTGAGCGAGTGGGCCATAACCTGTACAGGTGTTCAACACATGTTAACCAAATTAAAAACATGAGCCATTATTTTAAATAAAAATTAATATTTATAAATAATGATTATTAAAAATAAATATCTGCATACTTAATTCATTGCCATAAAATGAGTTATACTAGGAAAATATAAAACCAACTTATTATAAGTAGTATTATAACTGAAATAACTAACATAAAACTAATTAATTACTGTAATAAACAATACATGAATGTAAATGAGAATCTGAGGACTGATGGTCAAATAGTTTAAGCTCAGGTCTGCCCACAAATCGCGTAATAATCTTTCGCCTTTTACTAAAGATTACCGTGTGGGTCGACCTTATCATGAGCAATTAAAGGCAATTTTTGCACCGGCCTATCCATTCGGGTGGGCCTTATGTTAAATCAAAAAATAGATGCATTTCTAAATTACATATTTACTTAACTAACTTGTACTTACTATTACTAATTACTAATTAATTATAACTTGTGATTAGTTTGCTTTAATAAACAAAAATTTTCACTTTATTCAAAGGGTGTTGGTAGAATGTGCTTACACAATTACACCTGCATTAATTTACCATGTGCTAACAAATTATACATTATTTGAAGACTTATTATATCCGCCTCAAACATGTGCAATATATAATTGGCATTTTTAAATCTAGTTGCGATGAGATTATTTAATAGCCCTTAATGAGAGTGAAACTATGTCAAAACGAACTTGGATAATTTACGCTTAAAAGTATCTTTTTTCTCTTGAATTGTATTAACGCTGACAAACAATTTAATTGTATTATTAGTGTTAGTGTTATAAATGTTACGATCGGTGCGATTGACGGACGCGTAGAAAGCCGTAAATCTAGTGATCAATTGTCGGCAAAACGCCGTAAACCAGAGGACAGAAACGCCGAACCAGAGGCCAAAAACGCTGGCCAACAGACCGGCGAACTCTTCGAACGACATCTTCAGCGATATCTCGTAGACAGTGGTCGGATCCACAGGAAACTGGATGTCCATCGCATACATGCCGTGATTGTCCTGATTCTCGTAACTCTTGTCCACCGCGAAGAAGTACTCGACGACCTCTGCCTTCTGGCGCCGACGGCACCAATCGTTGCACTCGTGTTCGTATCGCTTGTCGTCGGACGAGTCGCCGAAGAAGTGGTCACTAAGATTATGATTACCCGCACCGGTAAAGCCCTCGTAGATCATGAACTCGGAGCTAACCGGCGACCCATCGGCCATATTATTATTAATCATACACTCAAACACACAGTTCTCGTTCACAATCGGGCGCTTCTGAGACCCCATATAGTATTTGGTGTTGTATTTCAACACAATTTGCCGGTATTTCATACGATAGACAGTTGTGTCGCTGTATTGGAAGCGGTGATAGCCCTTCCGGTGCGGCCGATACACGCGTTGGCCATTGAAATGTGTGTGAAATGTGATCTCTTTGTGTGCGATACGCATCAGCGCTGTTGATATGTTTACCTGAAAGCCCTCCTGAGGTCCCTCACCTCCCCCTCCGTCCGGTGGCGGCCCTCCATTATGATGGTGTGAGGGCCCACTTCCAGGTCCGTGTTGGTGATCACCTTTCTTACCACGTTTAGATCGCTGACCAGATTGAGAACCACCACCGCCATCGTGTGGGTCATCATTATCTTGTCCTCGGTGTCCACCATCGTCTCCATGAGGCTCTCCCTCTGGCCGACCTTCACCGCCATCTTCACGGTGTGATTCATGGTTTGGTTTACGATTGTGTCCGCGTTTGCGGTTGTTTTGGCCGCTCTTCGCGAAAAGGGTTATACAATACTCTTTACCAGCGATTGAATGCAAGTATCGGTCGCTTTCGGAGCAATTGATTTGATAGTCGGGTTTACCTAATACTGTGACCAAACATCCAAACTGTCGTTCGGTGAATGCCTTCACGGATCGCAACTGTTGTCCAATGGATTTGTTATTAAATATCATTAAATCCATTTGATGGGTGAAGTTGTGGCCAATGATCACCCCTTTGTCCATACATAGAGTGAACGCGGCGTAAGATAGAGGCGGGTCTTCGTGAACGTAACCCACATTTGTTACTGTCTTGTAAGCGAAATATATCTGACTTATGGTATATGTCTGAAACCCGCAACCAATTAGGCATAATAATCTTGTTAATATTTCAAACCAATTATTAATTGTGTATTTTGTAAGAATTTTCCAATAATTTTTCATTATTTTGTGATATTTAATAATCATATGTAATAATAATATGTAATGATTTTGAAATTAATAATAATAATTATTATTCTTTATTGCCCTTAAGAGTACTGTATAAAAAAATTGAAATGGTTATTTGTGTTATAATCTTACTTGTGAGGTGTAGTGTAAAAATTGCATAAACTATTATGTTTGTACATAGAGAGAAGTGGCAAAATATTTACATATACTGTATATTATGTAAATAAAATAATGTATTTTTATTTTAGGTATAATCAAATCTGTGTATTTTCATAAAAATTTCAATTAATTATTTATTTATATTGTTTCATATTATTTATTGTATTTATTTCAATCATTTCTTTTTCGCAATTTATACAATAATAAAATAAATTATTTGCTTAATATTTTTCCCTTATGTAAATATAATATTATTGGCAATATAATAATTTATTGCCATTTGAATATCATTTGGTATAAATACTTACAAAACATGATAAATCAATTCATATTTTAATAATTATACCATTATTAAAAATAATTTACATACATTGTGATCAATAACAAAAACAAAATCACTTTTTGACTGAGAAATAAATAATAAGAGTGAGAATAACCAAAATAATCACAAATATAATAAAAATAAACCATAAGCTCTTCTTCCGGGCCTTTCGCTGATACTCAGCGGCAGATCTGAGCTGTTGTCTGCCGGCCTCGACCTGAATCTGTGCCGACAAGACATTAGCCTCGATCTGATCGACCACTTCCTGCTCTTCGTCAACCATTTTCGCCAACTCTTGAAATATTTGATTCACGTCTTGTATGTCTGACTCGAGACGTTTGACGGCTTCGTGTAATACTTAATTAACTAATACTATTAAATATTGTATAATGTTTGAAACAAGACAAGTGTTTCACATTTCATTTCAAATACATATCAAAACAACGGATAAATGCATTCAATACTCGACTTATGTTTATCTCTTTAACCATTAAATAAGCCATCATTTGGTTATTAATTCAATAAACAATTCATTTGATTTCTCGCCAAAAATGTATTTTTTTTTGTACAATATTTGCAACAATTGTGTGATTTTTAACATATACAGTAATTTAAACAATATTTTTGTCACAAAAAACTTATCGTTTGAATGAAGTTATATCAGACTTAATGCCAATTATTATTGAAATTATTTGAAATGAAATAAAATGTGAAACACTTGTCTTGTTTCAAACATTAAACACAACAACTGTTACCACATTCTCGCTTGTTTTCTATCCCCTCTATAGTTGTCACTCCTCTCCTCCCACCCCTATTGTATGGTATAATACTGTTATACTGTTGTATTTGTGTCCACTTTTTGGTCTGTTTGAGTAAATACAAGGGGAAGGGATTGTGATAAGAAAACTTTTACAATGCATTAATTAAAGTGAATTTAAAAAAAATAAAAACAACTAGATTAATATTGTTATTACATTTGAAGTAAGATTGTTTAATTTGTTAAAAATAGAAAATAATAGCACTATAAAATGATTTCTGGTAATTAAATAAGAATTAAATCAACTTATTATGACAATCAAAATGAATTATTTGCACACATGATAACTAATGTAATACACAACATAAAAAAAGATCAGTGAGCTAACTTGTAAAATATCATCATGCTACTTTAATATTCATAACATGCATGCTTGAATTTTTATTTAAATAAGGATCTCATTAATGGAAAGTTTTTATTTATTATTTTTGTATCACGGTAATCATTATCGTTTTCATAATGCAATTAACCTCGATACTAAAAGAACAATAAAGTGTATTTCAAAATAGCAAACAACTTAACAAAAGTTTTTACTTTAGATTTAATTTGTTTTTATAGACACTGAAAATATTTATCATTATAATTACAAAACAAGCACTTTTTAATTGTTATGTATGACATACATGAATGTTTCACGTGTTTAATCATTTGTCTAACGGTGATTAGAGTATTACTTAATAATTTGCCTTTATAAATAAAGTATTACACTAATAGCTAATTAATTAAGTTTCCATTAGGTGCAAAATGGTCATGCTTAAAATATGTTGTTAGTATGATTATAATTTATGCAAAATTATTATGCAATTAGCACTAATGCTTTTTATTCTAAATTAATTACATGATAACTAAAACATTTTAATCTCAATTAATAATAAATCCATTATCTCAATGATCAATAGATGTGCTAATCTTGGCGTTAATCCCGGATCAGGTGGTGCGGGCCTTATGTCCGGCGGCCGCACACATAAAGCCGTGCAATTGTAAGGACAATGTGATGATATGCCACGAGGCGAGCGGTGTCCGACTCAAAGAGATGTTCACTTACCTCCACAACCATCTGGAGTGGCGTCAGCGACACATCCATCGCATCGAGATATACGGCTCGCATATCGTTCAACTGCCCGAACACATGTTCAACGACATAATCATCGACGAGATTGTCATCAAAAACACACCCAAACTGAAGACAATGTCCGAAGCGGCGTTCAAAGGCACCGAGTTTTACACCAAACGGCTGGTGTTCAACGGCTGTCCCCAACTGGATGTGTCAAACCTGTTCACAATAGTCAACCGCTTCCGGGCGCTCACATCGGCCAAGATCTGTAACCTCCCGGCCTTACATAAGATACCGGACGAGGCGTTTGCCGCCCGCCGTAAACTCAAAGAGTTGTTATTTTGCGGCCACGGAATCACAAGCATAGGCCTGCGAGCGTTTTACAAACTCAGCTCGCTCAGTCGGCTCGACTTTATGGACACCCATATCGCCAAAATACCCGGCGATGTGTTTACGTTTGAACACGACTCCAAACACGTGCTGACCATCGGTCTGATCAACAATCGCCACTTAAATGGCCTGAGCTTTACTCCGGCCACCTTCGCCCACACCAAACGCCCGACCAATATTGACTTCAGTGGCTATCACTTCACGGAAGTGTATCGCAAACAAATCACTTTTCTCGCCGAAGAGGTGTTTCGCCCGTATTTCAAGGCTCACGCCTCCAATGATGTCAATCTGTATGGACTGGAGTTTAATTGCATTAGTTGTAAGAATAAGTGGTTGAAAACGCTTGAAAACGCCCAGAATCG